ACCTTCCCCAGTGTCTATCACCCAGCCACCCCATCCCTCCCACCCCCCACCACTCCAGCAACCCTCAGTTTGCTTCCTGAGATTAAGAATTCCTCCTATCAGTTAGGTCATATATTTTCATGGATTTTTAGTTGTTTTTCCCTGACCTCCTCTTTTGCCTTCTTTTCTATCAATTGGTCTTCTAGATCACTAATTTGTTCTTCTGCCTCGCTTACCCTAGCTGTTAAGATTATCTAGATTAGATTGGATCTCATTGATAGCATTTTTAAGTTCTGCCAGTTCAGCTTTCATTTCTGCCCTTAGAGACTCTATGTTGCCATTAATCAATTTCTCCATTCTAGCTATTGTCTTCACAATTGCTACCCTGAATTCCATTTCCAACATCTTGGTTATATCTGTATCCATTTGTAAATCTGTGGCAGAAGTCACAGTCTCTGAGTCTTTCCTATTTTGGGGGTTCCTCCTCCTAGTCATTCTGTTGAAGGGTGGTTGAGGGAATGTGCAGAGTCCAAATTATTGACCACAACCCAAGCAAGATGCACCTGTTTTATAGGGACCTTAGGGTTGCTGACCTCTTGTTCTCCCGGTCTGTCTTCTGGGTGAGGGACCTGCTGCGCTGTTACTCAGGCAACCCTGTTTGGGCAGAGTTGCCCTGCCCCTGTGGTAGGGGATGGGCTCAGTGAAAACTGGTTTTTTGGGGCTTTTGTTCTCTGGTGGCTTTCCCTGGCAGCTTTCCACATCTCTTCTGAGAGTCAGAGCAGAAGAGATTGTTTCCAACCCTCTGCCTCAGAGCAGAGAGATTGCAGATTGTTCTTCAGTGAGTTCTCCAGGCCACATTATCTCCATTTCTGTCTGTGCTGCTATAAACTGCAGCGTCCTGGATTGTGTGACCCTCAGCGGGGCTCCCAGTCCTCACCTCCGGGTTGGGGTATGTCTCTGCCCTTTGTGCTTCTAAAACTGCCTGTGGCCCTCAGTTCGCATGTGTGGTCCCACTGCTCTGGGTTTCAGTCTGGGGGCTGCCCTAAAGTCCTTTCTCCATCGCTACCAGTCTGCAGGTCTGTGCCCCGTCCCCAGTGTGGGAGGCTATCACTCACTGGTGGTGTAGGATCACCATGGCTCTGCTCCCTCCCCTCTTCTGTTTATCCTCTGATATCTGCCTGCAGAATCACGGCTCCCCGCTCCATACCTCGAAACCAACCACCTGCGATACTCTGTTTGTAGAGATCCAGATCTATCTTCTTACATCTCAGGCTGATTTCGTGGGTGTTCAGGGTGGTCTGGTAGATATCCAGCTCAATTCCAGGGACTGGTTGGAATAGGGTCCCCTACTCCTCTGCCATCTTTTCCTCCTCCAATGTAGTGTATTTGTTTCATGAAGGATTTGGCCAGATTAAAAGAACAGTTGGAATCATGGAAAATTGCCTATCTTAAGCATTAGGACACTCAGTTATTTTCTGAGGAACAAATGTATTAAAGCTACCTTAAGTACATCTGACTACTCAAGAAATTCCATTTTGAGACATGGAATAGGCAGCTGGGGTGTGATCATAGAAGGTGATATAAATTTGGGCTTATTCAGCATGTGGATTATATTTCAAGGTAGTTTACTAGTGGAGCTTATCCAGGGGATTAGTGTGTACAGAAAAGAAAGTCTGAGAACCAGTCATAGAATACTCTAGTATTTAGAGTTCAGGAAATGAAGGCAACAAAAGTGATATTATATTAGCCATTTGTATTTCATATCAACTTTTGCCTGCCATATATACTTTCCAATCTTTTACTTTGAACCCACCTATGTTTTCATGTTCAAAGTGAGTTTCTTTTAGACGCCATATAGTTGGGTCTTGTTTATGTGTCCACCATGCCATTTTCACTCTTTTAACTGAAGTATTTAAACCATTTACACAGGGATGCCTGGGTGGCTCAGGTGATTGTCTGCCTTCAGCTCAGGTCATGATCTCAGGGTCCTGGGATGGAGTCCAGCATCAGGCTCCTTGCTCAGAGGGAAGCCTGTTTCTCTGTCTGCCTCTGCCTGCTGCTTCCCTGCTTGTGCACGCATATGCTCTCTCTCTCTCTCTCTGACAAATAAATAAAATCTTAAAAAAATACCATTTACACATAAAGTAATTATTGATAGATTAGGGGCTGTGTCAGCCATTTTATTATTTGTTTTATGTGTGTTTCCTCTGTTTCTCATTCCTGTTTTCTTGCCTTCCCTGAGGATTTTTGGAACATTTTAAAATCATTTTGTTTTGATATATCTATATTGTTGTTGAACAGATCACTTTGTGTAGTTTTATTAGTGTTTCTGGTGGTATTAAGATGCACATACATAGCTTATCATTCCCCCCTGGTATTGACATTTTACCACATCAAGTGAAATATGGGAACCTTGCTTCCATTTAGGTCTATTTACTCTCTCCAAATTTTTAACATAAAGCTTTTAAGTATTTCCTCTACATTTAGTGAGCACCACATTAAATTATATAATTTTGCACAAACATCAAACATAACAAACTCATTAGGAAAATGTATATTACATTCACCCCCATTTTTATTAATTTCATTGATTTTTTTTTCTTCCTTCCTGAAGTCTCCATCCTTCTGTTATCTTTTCCTTTTAACTTGAAGAATTCCTTGAGCAATTCTTTAAGGACAGACAGGTCTGCTGCAGACAAATTCTCTGTCTTCCTTTTTCTCAGAATGTCTTCATTTTTGCCCTTAAATCCTGTAAGATAGTATCTCTGCATATAGAATTTGGGGTTGACAGTTCTTGTCTTGCAGCACTTGAGAGGTGTTGTCACTTCTTTCTGGCTCCATGGTGACAGATGAGAATCCCACCAACACTGGAATCCTCTTTCCCCATAGGTTAGCATAATTTCTATCTAGCTGCTCCTTTTCTCAGTAGTTTTCAGCAGTTTGATTACAATGTATCTTGGCATGAATTTCTTTAGGTTTATCCTGTTCAGCCTTTTTAATGTGTAGGTTTATGCCTTATGCCCAATATGGGAAATTTATCAGACATTATTTTTGGAAGTTGTGTTGTTGTTGTTTTAATTTCCAACCTCTTTCTGTTCTCTTTCTGAGTATCCGGTTTTTTGCTAACTTCTCACAGGTCCTTAAAGCTTGTCTACTTTTTGTTGTTGTTTTCAGTCTGTTTTCAAAGTGAATAATTTGTGTTCTATATTCAAGTTTGTATAGCCTTCCATCACCTGAGATCTATAACTAAGCCCATCCAGTAGGTTTCTAAAAATTTTTATTATTATATTTCTCAGTTCTATACTTCCTATTGGATTTTTAAAAACCATTCTCAAAGAATTCCAATATCGGTGTCATCTTAGTGCGGTCTTCTGTTGATTTTCTTTCCCTTTTTAGGTATTTCTGGTCCTTGGTATGATGAATGATTTCCAATTATATTCTGGACATTTTGGGTATTGTGTTTTAAGACTTCTGATTTTATTGAAGTCTTTTATTTCTCAGGCCCCCATTACTACCATGCAGGGTGTAAGTTCAGGCTCCTCACTTGGCCTCTGTGAATCAAGGTAGGGAGAGGCGTGGTCTTAAGTTTCTTCTATGATATTTTTCTGAGGTAATTTAAGTATTGTGTAAAAATGTTTGTTTTGCTAGCTTACTCCTTTCCTGAGCCTTTGTCTAAAGAAACAAAGGAAATTCTTGGGACCTTTTTTTTTTTTTTTTGCTTGAACTTGGTATCATTTCTGGGGTACAGTCTTCTTCAGTGCTCAGTCCAGGATCCACTGAAGGCAAAATGAAAAACCAAATAACTCACTGCAGTGTGATTCCTTGAATTCTGAAGTCCTTGAAAGACTGACTTCTTGTCTACATCTTTCATAGTCTCTTATGTTGGATTTTTGCAATACGTTCAGGATTTTTGGTTATACTTAGCAGAAGGACTGAGCAGAAATGTTTCTACCTCATCTTGTCCAGAACAGGAGCCAGCAATTCCCTTTTACATTATACAAATGTGTAATTCTTTGAATTTTATTAAAGAAGTCGATGTTTCTTTTGTAATAAAAGTGAAAATCAATAAACAATGACTAGAGATCCAATAGACACTGTAGTATGTTGTCTATAGCAATAAAGATTCTTTGTTTATATTAGCTACCCATCTATCCAGCATTTATTCACTAAGAAAAACATTTTTAATATCACAATACTGCAAAGCAGATGTATTTGTTAATGCTTCTGTATGCTTTCATGTGGGATAAAAAAGGGCGTACATGTGTGCTTTTCAGTTTCTGTGATTAAAATTTCTTTAATGAATCATTTGTGTCAGCAGATATTACAAGTGTTGATATTAAGTATTGTACTATATTTTTATCGCTTTAACCTGTTTTTCTTTGGCCTTTCAATAAGTCAAATAATGTCTTTTAGACCCTAAAGGAAAATGTGGGCCCCCGAGACATTACCTCATTCCCATTACCAGCTTATGCTCCAGGATCATCAGTTGAGTAGCAATGCCAGGCCTTCTATGCACTTTAGGGAAACAGGAATGTAATATGTAGTAATGGACAGTGGTCGAAACCACCAAAATGCTTAGGTAAATATTTTAATGTTCTCATGGATCCTGGGAAAATCAGTGTAGTGAATATGATGTTTAGCTATTTATAATAGAGTTTTCAAGGATTAACAAACCGTCATTCTGTTGAATGCTTGACTATCAAACATTAATACGTGAGCAAATAAAGTTTGCAAAATTCTTGTTCAGGCAGCGAAATATTTTTTAATTCATAATTCATAATTGACATTATGAATCTTTGATTGTAACAATTATCACAGACTAAACATAGTACCTCATTTTTACATCATTCATTGCTTAAAATAATTTAAATCTACATGATGGATTTTCAGTCTGTTGGTTTAGAAAAGATTTTGAGAATGAAGCCCTGAACCAGTGTGGAAGATTCCCCTTGAAAGTCCAAAATTCTGAGGAAAATATTACTTACTTCTTAATGTTTTTTGTTCATTTTTTGTACTTTCAGATCCATGTGTGCTATCAGAAGAAACCATGAGAATGTTTAACATATGGTTATGATGGAGTAGGGAGAAACAAATTTCTGCAAGAGCAGGGGATATTGTTGAATTTGAATGTAACTATGGATAGCATAGAAAGACACCATGATATACATTCCGAGCAACCTGTCGGGAAGGGAAATTGACATATCCAGTCTGTGGATAAAACAATGGTTAAAATGCTGTCCTAAAATTAAAATATGTATATTTATTCAGAATTTTTCATTATTAACCTAATTCTCAGTTTAGTTTTTCAAGTATTAACTAATTTTTATTCATAAGTCAGAATGTGTTTAATATTATGTGGATGGTGTAGTTATAATCTAAGAGACAAATGAATCACTTTTTTTTAGGGGGGCGTGTCAGTAAATATTTTTAAAGTGAGGTATAATGTGGGAAATAAGCAAATTAAGTTAAATAACAAATGGAGTCATGTCTACGTCAATTCCTGGCACATAGTAAGCACTCAGTTAGGGTCTATTGAATGGACACATGTGTACCTTTTTAACCAGGTCTCATATGCTCCATTAAAAAATAAATCCAAGGAATGGAGAGATGTCTGTCAGAGGGTACAAACTTTAGGTATAAGATGATTAAGTTCTGGGAGTTTAATGTACAGCATGATGATTTTAGTTAACAAAACTGTGTTATATATTTGAAAGTTGTTAAGAGAGTAGATCATAAATGTTCACACCACACACACAAAAATGGGAATTATGTGAAGTGATAGAGATGTTAATTAATCTTATGGTAATCATTTAGCACTATATATGTGTATCAAATCATCATGTTTTACAACTTGAGTTTACAGAATGTTATTTGTCAATTATATCTTTGTAAAGTTGGAAAAATATTACATTAAAAATTTAATGAATAAATAAAAAGGATAAAAATAAATGTTTTTTCCTTGATAGTTTAGACCATTGGTAACCTAGCAGATAATTATTGAAAGGTATGTATGCTTAGAGCATGCATTTACAAGATGTTATATGCTCATTTGAATCTATTTGATATTTTTATTTTTAAATTTAATTATTTTTATTTTTTTATTATTATGTTCAATTAGCCAGCATATAATACATCATTAGTTTTTGATATAGTGTTCAATGATTCATTAGTTGTGTATAACACCCAGTGCTCATCACCACATGTGCCCTCCTTACTACCCATCACCCGGCTACCCCATCCCCCTGCCTCTCTCCTTTCTGTAACCCTGTTTGGTTCCTGGAGTCCAGGGTCTCCCATGGTTTGTCTCCCCCTCTGATTTCTTCCCATTCAGTTTTCCCTCCCTTCCCTGTAGTCCCCCGTGCTATTCCTTATGTTCCACATATGAGTGAAACCATATGATAATTGTCTTTTTCTGCTTGACTTATTTCACTTAGCATAATCCCCTCCGGTTCCATAATATTCCATTGTATACATGAACCACATCTTTATCCATTCACCTGTTGAAGGGCATCTTGGCTCCTTCCACAGTTTGGCTATTGTAGACATTGCTGCTATGAACATTGGGGTGCATGTGCCCCTACATCTGTGTCTTTGGGGTAATTACCTAGTAGTGCAATTGCTGGGTCACAGGGTAGCTCTATTTTTAACGTCTTGAGGAACCTCCATACTGTTTTCCAGAGTGGCTATACCAGCTTACATTCCCACCAATAGTGTAGGAGGGTTCCCCTTTCTCCACATCCTTGCTAACACTTGTTTCCTGTCTCAATTTTTGCCATTCTAACTGGTGTAAGGTGGTATCTCATTGTGGTTTTGATTTGTATTTCCCCGATGGCTAGTGATGTTGAACATTTTTTTCATGTGTCTGTTAGCCATTTGTATGTCTTCTTTGGAGAAGTGTCTGTTCATGTCTTCTGCCCATTTATTGCCTGAATTATTTGTTTTTTTGGGTGTTGAGTTTGAGAAGTTCTTTATAGATCTTAGATACCAGCCCTTTATCTGTAATGTCACTTGTAAATATCTTCTCCCATTCCGTGGGTTGCCTTTTAGTTTTGTTGACTGTTTCCTTTGCTGTGCAGAAGCTTTTTATCTTGATGAGGTCCCAAAAGTTCATTTTTGCTTTTGTTTCCCTTGCCTTTAGAGACATTTCTTGAAAGAGGTCGCTGTAGCCAATGTCAAAGAGGATACTGCCTATGTTCTCCTCTAGGATTTTGATGGATTCCTGTCTCACATGGAGGTCTTTCACCCATTTTGAGCTTATCTTTGTGTATGATGTAAGAGAATGGTCCAGTTTCATTCTTCTGCATGTGGCTGTCCAATTTTCCAAGCACCATTTATTGAAGAGACTGTCTTTGTTCCATTGGATATTCTTTCCTGATTTGTCAAAGATTAGTTGACCATAGAGTTGAGGGTTCATTCCTGGGGTCTCTATTCTGCTCCACTGAGTCCAGGGCCAGATGACTTCCCAGGGGAGTTCTACCAAACATTTAAAGAAGAAATCATACCTATTCTACTGAAGCTGTTTCAAAAAATAGAAATGGAAGGAAAACTTCCAAACTCCTTCTATGAGGCTAACATTACCCTGATCCCAAAACCAGACAAAGACCCCAACAAAAAGGAGAACTACAGACCAATATTCCTGATGAACTTAGATGCCAAAATACTCAACAAAATCCTAGATAATAGGATACAACAGTACATTAAAAGGATTATTCACCATGACCAGGTGGGGTTTATTCTTGGGATGCAAGGGTGGTTCAACATTTGCAAATCAATGTGATAGATCACATTTACAAAAGAAGATACAAGAACCATATGAGCCTCTCACTTGATGCAGAAAAAGTATTTGACAAAATACAACATCCTTTCCTGATTATAACTCTTCAAAATATAGGGACAGAGGGAACATACCTCAATATCATGAAAGCCATCTATGAAAAGCCCACAGCGAATATCATTCTCAATGGGGAAAAACTGAGAGCTTTTCTCTTAAGGTCGGGAACATGACAGGGATGCCCCTCTCACCACTTTTGTTCAATATGGTACAAGAAGTCCTAGCCTCAGCAATCAGACAACAAAAAGAAATAAAAGTCATTCAAATTGGCAAAGAAGAAGTCAAATTTTGTCTCTTTGCAGATGACATGATACTTTATGTGGAAAACCCAAAAGGCTCCATACCCAAATTACTAGAACCCATACAGCAATTCAGTAACATGGCAGGATACAAAATCAATGCATAGAAATCAGTTGCATTTCTATATATTGACAATGTGAGTGAAGATAGAGAAATTAAGGAATTGATTCCATTTATAATAGCACCAAAAATCATAAAATACCTAGGAATAAACCTAACCAAAGAGGTAAAGGATCTATACTCTAGAAACTAGAGAACACTTATGAAAGAAATTGAAGAAGACACAAAGAGATGAAAAAACATTCCATGCTCATGGATTGGAAGAATAAACATTGTGAAAATGTCTATGCTGCCCAGAGCAATCTAACATTCAATGCAATCCCCATAAAAATAGCATTGACATTTTTCACAGAGCTGGAACAAACAATCTTAAACTTTGTATGGAACCAGAAAAGACCCTGAATCACCAGGGGATTGTTGAAAAAGAAAACCAAAGCTGGGGACATCACAATTCCGGACTTCAAGCTTTATTACAAAGCTGTGATCATCAAGACGTCATGGCATTGGCACAAAAACAAATGAGTCACTTCTTGAAAGCACCACATTAGGGGTGCCTGGGTAGCTCAGTGGGATGGGTGTGACCTCAGGGTGTGGGATTTAGTCCCACCTCAGCCTTTCTGCTCAGCAGGGAGTCTACTTCTCCTTCTCCCTCTGGCCCTCCCCCCACCACTCATGTGCACTCTCTCTCTCTCTCCCCCTCTCAAATAAATAAAATCTTAAAAAACAAATCACCACATTAAAACTTGACAAACCAAAATGCTATGTGTCCTAATCATAAAATATCTATGGCAAGAAATTAGGTTCAATCACTTCAGGGCCTGCTTCTATCCATCTTTCTCCTAACTTTCTCAAAGCTCCCTCCATGACTTCTGAGGCCTCCTGAGACCCTGTTTCAGCAGAATGTGAGAAAATGCTTTTCTCCTTCTTCAGAATAATATTATTTCAAAAACACATAAAACCTATGTCATATCGATGTTAGTAATATGATGTAAGTAGTTATCACTTACTTTTGCTTATCTATCAATAGATGTATATACCAAAAAATGATGAAATGCATGATCTCCTACAAGATGACTCTCTACCACACATAAAAATTAAATCATAAAGACAAAGTAGAATCTAATTGTGTGTATAACTATAATAACATGACATGAAAAGTGACCCCAAAATCCAAAATCAAATATAAACACAAACACACACACACATACCCCATGCTTTGAACACTGAATAAATGTTTACAGAACAAGGTCAGCAGAAGTACAATAGAATATTTACAAAAGCTATAGTTAGCTATAGTCAGAAATTAGTGGTCTGAGTTGATATTTAATTCCCTAATACTCAACAGTATTCTCCATTTTTTTCTATCTTTAGCAGATATCACCTTTGGACCACAAGAATATATTATTTTAGAATAAAGATATATTAAAAACTAAGATAATACATGTTGAGACCTATGAAAACTTCTTTGTGATGATCATTAGATCTGAAAACATTTTCATGATTTTGCTGGTATTGAGGGTTTTGGAAACATTTAATGACAAGAGTCTGAATGAGGAGTTTTATGTTCATACATTTCACATTATGTAATTAGTTAAAATCATTTGACTATAAGTATTTTAAGTTTCTACAAAAACATGAAAATTTTAAGATGAAAATAAGGATATAAATAATTAAGGTAAAAAAATTTTATGGTGTTATCTTGTTACTTCATATTGCATCAAATCAGGTGGCACTCTAAGCATGTTGACTAACTAGAATTTAAATAAAAATTTGGGGAAAAAATGAATGAGAAACCTGGCTATCACCAATAGAATCAATTTATCTAAATTTGAATCACAAACGACAGCCAGTTTTCTCACA